CAGGTGCCCTTCACCTGCCCAGTGCCCTGAGGGCGGGTAGCTTTTCCTCTGCACATCCCCTGAAGCCAGGGATCAATTCATCTCCAGGGCCCAGAGACTATGGCATTTTCCCAGGGGCCACCTTACTGTTTTCTCAGAGGACAGAAAGCAGAGAGGCAGGTACCGGGGCCAGGCCTCATGGAAAGCCCCCAGCTTGCCTGTGCAGAGGCCTCTCTAGGAGGCAGGATTGCATCTACTTCCACATTCCTGGGCTTCCCAGCTCTGTACTAGAGGCCCAGAGACAATACCTGGCCTGGCTGAGAGGTGAGAGGAAGGAAGGCAGCCTCTCCTTCCCCTAAGCAGTTATTAGCAAAAGCTGGAAGCTGCCCAGTGGGCTTTATTTGGCACTGGCTCTGGCTTATGCCCCTGTGCCTGGGTCAGTAAGTTCCTTTAGGCCTAGGTCCTCATCCCTGCATGGTTCTACCCCTGGACTGGGGAACAAATGGGGCAGCTGAGTGCCCAGCTGGAGGGTTAAAGGCAGGGCACTGCCCAAGGCTGTATCCAGTCAGTACACAGGCTGATCAATGACAGGCCTTACCCTGTGAATGAACAGGCCCCTACCCTCACCTTGCAGCCAGGGACTGCTAGGATCACAGAGATCAGGACCCCAGAGGGATGGCTGGGAGAGGGATTCCTGTTTATTTTATGAAGGCACAGGTGTCTACAATTAATGGCATTTACTATAACTCTCTGATAAGCAAACAACCTCTTCCCAGAATCAGCCCCAACTCTGTCTCTCCCAAGCCAGTGCCTGTTCCTGTTTGAGATCTGACACAACACCATAGGTGTAGTGAATGGCTGCCCACCAGCCCCTCCACAGCAAGTGTTGGAGTCAACCACAACTGCTACAGAGGACTGAGAATCTGACCACCCTAAGTCTGCCTAAAGGGGCACAGGTGGCCTGAAGGTTTGCAACTCCCCAAAAGTAGGAGGGGGCACCTTTACACTAGGTTTTTTGGCTCCAGCTCTGAGGGTGGAGACAAGGAAGAGCCACATCTGGGTGGGAGTAGAGAAGAGGGGTGACATCATTTTCCAATTGTGGCACCAGGGACAGCAGAAAGGGAAGTGAATCCTCTTCAAGCCTAGAGGCAGGGCCATTCTGCTGGGCTCTGGAGGGCACCTTGCCCCGGGGTTCAGCTCCCAACGGTTTTTCTGCAGCCCACTTCATTTAGGAGAAATCTACTCCCTTGTCCCCCATTTCTTAACTGTGGAACAGAGGCCAGGCTTAGGCAGGAAATATTGGGACAGGGTTCTTTAGTAGGAGTAAGAAGGAGAAAAATAAATAAACCTCATAAAGTCAAGAGAAAAAATGATGCTGACCTTGTCAGGCAGCCTGGGTGGGGGTGCTTCCTAGCATGGGTGGGAGAGTACCCAAAAGGCTGTCCTTCTCCCCTCACTACAGGTCACGGACCCAGTTGTCTCAGCAGCCTGAGGGCCAGACAGCTGAGGCAGCTTTTCCATGTCAGCGTCCCATCCCCCACAGGCAAGAAGCCAGAAAAGGGATGTAGGCCTGGGATCCTAGGGCCGGCCGTCCCCAGGGAGCTTGGAGGTAGTGCCAGTCTCTGTATCAGGGAGCTGACAAGGAGGTCAACTCAGGGCAGGCCTGAGGTGGGGCCTAGAAGCTTGGGTGAGCTGCCTGCCTTACTGCAGAAGGGTTTAGAGGTTGGTCCTGCTTAAATTACAGGCACTAGAGTGGAGGTTCCATGTGGCCAGGCCTAACTCTCCAGGTGAGGAAACTGAGTCCAGAGTGGGGCACCACTAGTTGCATATTAGGAAAGGTAGGAAAGGCAGAGTGGGGCCAGGACCCCATTTCTTGCCTCCTAGTCCACTAAGTTTTTGGGGCTTTTTATGTTTTTTGTTTTTGTTTTTTTGGGTTTTGTTTTTTTTTGTTGTTGCTGTTTTGTTTTTTGCCCTCAACAAATATGTGACACTCACTCAAGATGGAAGAGAAGGATGAGGAGCAGAAAGTCAACTTGGAGAGAACCTCGAGGCTTGAGATGGGCCACCGCCCTGATGGTATCTGGTACATGCCTCCTCTGCTAGCCTGGCTGTTGAGAAGGGGACTCCCGGATCCCAGGGAGCCTCAGCTTCCTACAGCCTCAGAGTGCTGGGGCTGCTGGGGCCTTTTCTCTTGGAGAGATAGAGCCCCATCCCAGAGAAGGGTGAACGTCCTTGCAGAATGTCTCAGTTGGATAGGGGTATCAGAAATGGCTCTCTTAGGTGTCTATTTTTGCTGTAAGTGGGTCCTGTTCACACAGCTCCCCAGAGGCCCCACAGGGGGTCTCAGGCTTGTCCTCAGTCTCAGAAGGGAAGCACGCCCTGAAGCAGGTCTTCAATGACTCCTTCACCTCAGCCTCCAGGCCCTTCATCCTGGCCTCATATTCTGTCAGTGCCTCCTGCTGGAACTGTGGAGACAGCAAGGACCACCGCCTAGCTCGGGGGTGCCACCTGCCTACTCTCCCTCCCCTGGACAGTGGAACAAGGAGATGGTCTTTTCAGAGCTTCCAGGAAATAAGAGTGGGATGTGGGGCATAGTGGAGCCCATCCGGGAGCCTGTCAGGAGAGGGGGTGCCAACCAAGCAAAGAGATCTGCAGAGCTACCTTATTTGAAAAGGCCCCAGGACCCCATGGGAACCAGAACCTATGACCCACTGGTGAGAGGTGAGCCTCCACTCCCCTGAACTCCTGACTGGCAGCTCCCAGGAGCAGGACCCTCTTTATACCCTGGAGCCAGGCTAACTTCTGGGAGCCAGGGCGGTGGTCACTGTCACCTGCTTTTCCATCTCCCGGATCTGTTCCAGGCAAGCTGCCTGCTTCTCCTCCAGCTTCTCCTGATGCCTCCTCAGGTTCTCTGTCATCTGGGTGAGAGTAAGAGGCAGGGAATCAGGACAGCAAGGACAGGCAGTCTGGGTTGGCAACCAGCTACAATCGCAGTTAACCAGCTGTAAGACTGCACAAATTCCTTAACCCATGAACATATCCTTTTATTTGTAAAATGAGGTTAATAGTACCGGTCTCTCTGGAATGTGAAGAATTACATGAGACAGTTTATGTGAAGCCCCTGGCTTAGTGTCTGGGACAAGGTCAGGACTCAGTAGCTGGTAGTTCTGTTACAGTTGTTAATAATCCCCAGGGGAGATTTAGGTCCATTCTCAGCAGGGCTTTTCTTCCTCTTCCAACTCCTTGGAGCCTCAGGAAGCCCCTCTTGCTCCCTCTCACCCACCTACCCCAATCCCATCCTCTCCCTGCCCTCTCACCTCCAACCCCCCGCCCCCTCCCCCCAGCCAGCTAGCCCATATCATTTTCATCCAGGACACCTGGCCAGAGACAGACTCCTTTAGGCTGGTACCTCAACCTCCACAGAAAGACCAGAACCTCAGGCTGGCCTTGGAGCCCCTCCTCCCCTGGACTGACTCCTCCCATCCCTAGCTGTATGGGCTTCTCTGGACAGTGTATCTCCTAAGGGCAAAATAAAGGCCCAAAGCCACCTTTTCTCTCCCATGGAGAGCATGCATGCGTGTTAGTGTGTGCTCAAGCATGCGTGCATAGGTATGTGTTTGGGAAGGATACAGCTTTACCCACCTGTTCGACGACCTGCACCACGTCCTGGATATGGGAGTCGTTAATCTCTCTTTTCAACCTGTTGGGGTGATCAGAGTTTCAGGGAGGGCTGGAGGCCCCTAGGCAAGACTCCTCGGAGTGTAGGCAAAGTGAGAAAAACATCTGCCAAAGGGACAGAAACCAGCCAGAGTTGTGAGCATGGGGACCCAAGGAGGGTTTGAGGGGCCATTGAAAGCCCCAGGGGCTCTGTAAATAAAGAGCTTCCTCACTAACTCGCACCATTCTTCAAGCATGCATGGGGAAGCACATGCGGGAAGCTGCTGTCTCAAGGTTTCACCTCTCTCTTTGTATGCTTGATTTTCCCTTAAATTCTCCTCTCTGCTCAAATAATATTGGCATCTGTGTTTTGCCTGAGGACACTCTGATCAGAGGTTACAGAAGTTAGATAACTTTCAAGAGATATGAGACAGGCATATCTTTGGGAATTGAGTCAGGATCCACTTGTAGGAAGGCCCCTTCCCACCTGGAGTGGTTCCTGCTCAGCACTGGGCCTGGAGTTTGAGTCCTGGGCCTCTCTCTCCTCAGGGACTCACCTCTCCTGGGCCATCTTGTCCGTGGTAACCTTGACCATGGCCTGGATCCGCTCCAGCCTCTTGGCCTCCAGCTTTTTCTTCATCTCTTTAGTGTCACTGCAGAGAGACAAGCATCAGAGATGATTTATGGGACCTGAGCCCTTTTGGGAGATGAGAGTCAGATATGAGTAGGGGGCAGTCATACCTCTCTGAGGTCTCCTTGAGAGTCTTAAGCTCTGCAGCCTGTTTCTCTCTAGCCAGCTCCATCATCTTGGTGATTTGCTGAAGGGGGAGAAAGGATGGGTTTGGCAGATGTGCTTAGCATGAAGTCTTTTGTTGTGCGCAGGGTGTGGGGTTGGTTAGGTGGTCGCTTCTTCCCCACCCCCACTCTGGCACCTCGGCCACGTGCTGCTCCTTGCGCTTCAGGATACACTCGTATTGCTCCTCGCCCTGCTGCAGCAGCTCCAGCTCCAGCCTGTCCCTCAGCTCGCGCACACGCAGGTCCGTGCCCTCGGGACCCTCACCCGGTGCTGCCCCAGCATTCTCCTCGCAGGGCAGAGTCCTGCGGAGGCCACGTAAGACTGGCACTGAGCCCTCAGCCCCCCGCCCCCGCCCCCGCACAGCGGAAGGCAGGATGCTGCCGCCACCTTTACCTTTTCTTGCGGGAGCCCTTGCCCGGACCGAGCCTACGGCCCCCGCAGCCGACCTCCGCGCCCAGTGGCCCAAGCTCCGCCAGCTGCGCGGTGCCCCTCTGCAGCAGCTCCTCCCAGCGCCGCGCACCGCGCCGCTCAAGCTCTCGCAGTTCCTTCTCATGCCGCCGCTGCAGCTTCACGACGCCCTTCGACTCTCGTAGCTCCTCCGGGCTGGTGGTCCGCAGCTCTGTGGGGACCCAGGTGAGGCGCCCCACCGCCCAGGAGCTCCCCACGAGCCTTGGGCCCTCCCCAAGCTCGTACCCAAGACCACTAGGCCTCAGCAGGCTGTACCCGCAGCATCTTTCATGGCCTCCTCGCTGGCCCTGACCACAGCTGCTGCAAGAGCCACGGGACAGGCTGACATGTGCCCTGGGGTCCCCCGGTCAGTTCTATTCTTCCCCTGCCCGCCAGGGGAGGCAGTATGGACCCCCTGCAGCACAGTTGCTTGGTGCTGAGGCTTCAGACACAGTGTTCCCTCCCCAGGTTAGAGTGTTAATTTTTTAAGCACATTTTTGGAATGTGGTTACAGCGAAAGAAGTCGAGACCCTTCCAGTAGGTGGGAGGACACTGTAGTACATACCTGCTGATCCATTGCTTGTTGGGGCAGCTGCCCCATTGACCTGGCTGGCAGCTGGACTCCCCAGAGGGAAAGGCTTCTGTGTAGGGAGAGTGGATTAGGAAGATGGCTCAAATGGCCCTCTCTCCCTAAGTGGGTAAATCTTCCCCCTCCCTCATCTTCCCACTGAGAAAGCAAAGCTCCTGGGGGCCCCTGGCAATGGACCCAGCAACACAGACCTCAGGCGGACCTCCCGTGGCTTCCTTGAGCTTCACAGACTTCTTATCTTGGGCACTGAAGAACTTGATGGGATTGGTAAGGGCCACGGTGAGATCTGGGTGCACAGGGGCATCATGAGCCTGATATGGAGATATACCTGGAAGGCTCCCTGATCCTCACCTACGCTAGGATACCCTGGCCTGCCCCACTCCGGAGGCTGGCTTGAGGAGAAGGGAGGGGAAAAGGACAGCTCCGGGCTCCCAGCATTCCGTAGGCCTCCTACCTGCCCACCTGTCAGGTACATAGTCCTTCAATTCCAGGAAGACAAAGAGTGAAGGCATGGTGAGGGGCATGTTGCTCTCGCTGTGCAGGCACAGATGGTGGTATCCTGTCGGGCATGATGGGGTGGGCAGTGAGCAGAGCCCATTGCAGCCAGCACTGCAGGTGAGCAGTCAAGTAGTCAAGACTTCTGACTTTAGAGTCAGAGACCAGGGCCCAAGTCTGGTTCTGCACCTTCTTGGCTATGTGACCTTGGGCAGGTTACTTTAAATCTCTGAGACTTTTCTCATCTGTGAAATGGGGATAATAGTGTCTACCTTATGCAGTTATTGTTAAGATTAAGTGAGAGTATGTTATAAGCCCTTAAAGCATTTTAAGTGCCCAATAAATGTCAGCTACTTGGGAAACTGCCCCAGTAGTTCCAGAAAATTACAGACGTTCTGTTAGCTGGGCAGAGTCCCCACCTCTGTCAGTATCCTAAAGTGGTACTATTCCTGCCCCCACTCTTTAGAGCTGATAACATGAGAGTGTTAAGTAAGGTCTCAGGACCACCTCCGTGAAGCTGCCTCACCCTCTGGACAGGCCCCTGAAGATGGCCTTGGTCTCAGACCTGCTTGAACAGCAAAAGAAGGACCCATAACCTTACCAGAATTCAGGGCATTGATGGGGATGATGCGGTGTCCGAGAAACTTGTTGCCTTCCTCCATCACAGCCACCCTGAGGGAGGCCAACTCAGGCATCAAGATCTGGGGAGAGTTCAGGACAGGATAAGCTGGGAAGGGGAGAGGGTGGCCAAGCTGTCCCACTCCCTGGTTCCAGAAGTCTAGGGTCAGTGTGAGAACATAGCAGGTATGACCAGATTTGGTAAGAACAGAGGGCACAGTCTAGGCAACACACGTAGACATCCTCACAGCTCTGGCCATGGTCAATCCACACAGGAGAAAAGGGCTAGATATGCAGCCCAGGGCTCTGGGGATCCTGGTACAGACAGCCTGTGGCAGCTTTGCCAAAAGTATCCAGTGGGGGTAAAAGACCCCTGTGATCCCATGGGACTCTGCACCCTGGTCTGGGAGTTCACGTTTCTGCCTCTGATCCTAACATGAACATGCATGCACGCTCACACACCGGCACATGTACACACTCAAAACCTGCCCACCAAGTACATTTCTGTAAACTTGCCGTTTGGACTCTGGAAACTCGGGAGGGCACAGAGTGAGCGGTGGGGAGAGGAGAAGTATCAAGGACCTCCCTTTATGTATTTCCTCTTTTCTATAAAGAGAAGCCAGGAACTAGGGATGGACCACAGCCCCTGACCTGCCCTAGCCCCCTACCTTCTCAAAGACAAAGGGCTCCTCCTTCCAGACAGGGTTGATGGAGTTGGTACTGGGCGACAGCTTGGTGCGATAGCGCCGCTTGGGGTCCCCAGGAAGGCCAAACAGCTCCACTTCCACATAGGTGCGCACACTGCGTTCTGACAGGAACTGCCCAGAGATTACCTGGAGGTGGGGACCAGGGGAAGCCAGCATCAGCTGCCCCACCCAGGCCATTCCCCAGCACCTGGGGTCTCCAGCTCCTCTAGCTGAAGCATCCATTCTTGGGTACTGTGAAGAGCCCCACTCAGCTCTGGCTACCGAGTAGAGGCTGTGTGGCTCAAGGGTTAAAGCTAAGCTCTGATAACCAGGGTGCTTTCAGCATTCGTATGCAAGACTGCTGACTTTAGAGTCAGAGACCAGGGCCCAAGTCTGGTTCTGCACCTTCTTGGCTATGTGACCTTGGGCAGGTTACTTTAAATCTCTGAGACTTTTCTCATCTGTGAAATGGGGATAATAGTGTCTACCTTATGCAGTTATTGTTAAGATTAAGTGAGAGTATGTTATAAGCCCTTAAAGCATTTTAAGTGCCCAATAAATGTCAGCTACTTGGGAAACTGCCCCAGTAGTTCCAGAAAATTACAGACGTTCTCTTAGCTGGGCAGAGTCCCCACCTCTGTCAGTATCCTAAAGTGGCACTATTCCTGCCCCCACTCTTTAGAGCTGATAACATGAGAGTGTTAAGTAAGGTCTCAGGACCACCTCCGTGAAGCTGCCTCACCCTCTGGACAGGCCCCTGAAGATGGCCTTGGTCTCAGACCTGCTTGGAACAGCAAAGAAGGACCCATAACCTTACCAGAATTCAGGGCATTGATGGGGATGATGCGGTGTCCGAGAAACTTGTTGCCTTCCTCCATCACAGCCACCCTGAGGGAGGCCAACTCAGGCATCAAGATCTGGGGAGAGTTCAGGACAGGATAAGCTGGGAAGGGGAGAGGGTGGCCAAGCTGTCCCACTCCCTGGTTCCAGAAGTCTAGGGTCAGTGTGAGAACATAGCAGGTATGACCAGATTTGGTAAGAACAGAGGGCACAGTCTAGGCAACACACGTAGACATCCTCACAGCTCTGGCCATGGTCAATCCACACAGGAGAAAAGGGCTAGATATGCAGCCCAGGGCTCTGGGGATCCTGGTACAGACAGCCTGTGGCAGCTTTGCCAAAAGTATCCAGTGGGGGTAAAAGACCCCTGTGATCCCATGGGACTCTGCACCCTGGTCTGGGAGTTCACGTTTCTGCCTCTGATCCTAACATGAACATGCATGCACGCTCACACACCGGCACATGTACACACTCAAAACCTGCCCACCAAGTACATTTCTGTAAACTTGCCGTTTGGACTCTGGAAACTCGGGAGGGCACAGAGTGAGCGGTGGGGAGAGGAGAAGTATCAAGGAACTCCCTTTATGTATTTCCTCTTTTCTATAAAGAGAAGCCAGGAACTAGGGATGGACCACAGCCCCTGACCTGCCCTAGCCCCCTACCTTCTCAAAGACAAAGGGCTCCTCCTTCCAGACAGGGTTGATGGAGTTGGTACTGGGCGACAGCTTGGTGCGATAGCGCCGCTTGGGGTCCCCAGGAAGGCCAAACAGCTCCACTTCCACATAGGTGCGCACACTGCGTTCTGACAGGAACTGCCCAGAGATTACCTGGAGGTGGGGACCAGGGGAAGCCAGCATCAGCTGCCCCACCCAGGCCATTCCCCAGCACCTGGGGTCTCCAGCTCCTCTAGCTGAAGCATCCATTCTTGGGTACTGTGAAGAGCCCCACTCAGCTCTGGCTACCGAGTAGAGGCTGTGTGGCTCAAGGGTTAAAGCTAAGCTCTGATAACCAGGGTGCTTTCAGCATTCAGGGAAGTAGTGTGGTCTCCCCATCTCTCTCCCTCAGGGCCTGGGGCTCCTGCTGCCCTACTCTGCCCACTCTTCTCCCTTCCCCCATCCTAGCCTCAGCCCTTCCCCTTGGTTTCCATAGGGACCAAGAGGCAGCCTCCAGTGCTGAGGAGGAGGCAGTTTCCAAGGCAACTTGCTACTGCACGAACTGGCTGGGGCTGAAGTTTCCATGATATCAGGGGAGGGGGTTGGGAGTGGAGGAGTGGGGCTCCTGTGTCTTTCTCCTCAAGGCTCCAGCCCTCCCAGCCACTTGTTTGCCTCAGGGTCTTGCCGTAATGGAAAGGGTGGTGGCTACCACCACGTCAATGCGGTCCACTGAGAATGGGTTGTACTGCTTGTCCGGCCGACGCATAAACTCATGCTTGAGGAGGTAGCCGCTCTGCCCATTGAACTCAAACAGCGCCATGTTCTGCTGCATAGGCAGGTCTGGGGGGACAAGGGCACTGGATGAGGAGGGCCCTGCTCTGCGTCGGCACCAAGTCTCTGTTTCCTCATTTCCCAGCCTTTCCCCTGTCTTGTGAATGGGGAGGTTGAGTAGACTGTTGGCATGAGGGTTTCTCATGTCTCAGCCTGCTTTCTTTGGGTGTCTCATCTCTCAGAAAGGGCCCACAACCTGGAGTCAGCAGGACCAAGGCCACAACCAGATCTCAGGCTCACAGGGGGAATAGAGGCCAGTAGAGCAGGTGTTCCCGCAGATCCACCCAGAGAGCAGCCAGAACCCATGCAAGCACCCTGGGATCTTCACATACATACTCGTATACGTGCAGTCATATAGGCATGAGCTAATGCATTTCTGTCCCTAAATGCTCACACGCCTGCACGTGCTCCCAGAGCCCAAACAAACATCTGGACACCATGGTCTATTCTAAAGACCCCCCCACGAAGGGATGGGATGAAGGTGGGAGGGGCAGAGAAAGCTTCTTAAGGGCCTGGGAGTGCCCTCACCCATCGTCTGGAAGTTGAGGGCGACCATCTGGCAACCAGCATTCCAAAACATCTGGGGCATGTAGTTGGAGGAGTCCATGCGGGTTCCCTTGGGATAAATGCGGCTCATCTGGCGCTTGTTGTAGCTGTTCCAGAGTATAGGAGGCCGAGGCTGCCTGCACCAGGAGGACCCAACAGCACCCACCCCTGGCCCGTGAGCACTGTCCCCCTCCCTCCACCTCAACCAGGGACCCAGGCTACTGAGGCCTCAAGGATACTCCACAAACTGCACTGTGGCCTTGGAGAGCAGATCATAAGCCTTGAGCTCGGTGAATGAGGAGATGACATAACTTCGGTTCTTCTCTATGTAGGGGGAAAGAGGAGTGGGAGTCCTCGTCAGGCTGTGCCCCCCCTCAGACCTGCCCTCCTCTTTGGCGTGGCTCCCTCCAGCACAGAATTGCCTCCGACATAGCAACATAGTGAAGCCTGAGGGTTCAGGAGCCAACCCCAGGGGGCAGGAGGATGTGCAGATCTGTGTGGGTAACAATGCATGCTGGGAGATATGCACAGGGATGGGGTGTGTGTCAGTCTCAAGGGTGAGGAGTGCTTGCCCTGGGTGGGTGCCGAGGGTGTGGGAACATGCTAGGATGAGCCCAGGGGGTCAGGAACGTGCTGTAATGGGCAGCGCCTAAAGCACACCCGCTCTGCTGAACGAGACGGGTGGAGGTGGGGGTGAGAGGTACACACCAAGAGTGCTATCTGTCATGGGTGGGCACAGGTAGGGGTGAGGGCTGTGGGTTCAGGGGTGAGGAGTCAAGGTGGCAGAGGTATACACCATGAACCAGTATATACAGAAAGAGGTGTTCATATTGGAAACATGCGCAGAGAGTGGGAGGAAGGCACTGTGTGTCTGTCCCGAGAAGATAAATAGCATAGAGTGTACAGAAAGGGAAAGGTAAAAGGAGCAGAAGTGCACTGGCTGGTTTCTCTGCCTTCCACCCTCTCCCAGAGGCTATGTCACAGGGCCTGGGCTTTGGGGCTTGGGAGCCACAGAACCTGCAGAAGGCTGCAGGAGCCCCAGGCCAGCCTAACTAAGGTGGCCTGTCACCGACACACTCCAGAGCATTCTGCTTGGTGCCAAGTTCCTGAGTACTGTGCCAGGAAATGGGAGCCACTGCCACTTAAACAAGCCCTTTGCCTGACTCCTCTGCTGAATATTTATAGACAGTCCTCAGTCCAAGGAAGGAGGAGGACTCTCCTTCCTCCTACCCCCACCTCTCAAGCTGCCTGGTGTCACAACACACTTCCTAAGGGCCTTCCCCTGAGTCTAGCTGAACCTCCAGCTTACCACCACCTCATGCTAACTTACGGGCAGAGAACTCGAAGGAGATGAACTTGGCGGGCTGAATGTAGTTGACTAGGCTGGACATCTCCTCATAAGCTGTCACCTCCAGGCCCGCTGTGCCCTAGGGAGGAAAGAGGAGGGCGGAGAAGAGAGTAATAAGCACAGGGACATTGCCCACTCCCTCACCCGAAGGGCTCTGCAGTGGAGGTGGCAGAAAGGGTTCAGGGCTGTCCCCACACACCTCATCTGACTGCAACTTCTTTATCTCTTCTTCATCCAGGCTTCCCGACTCCTCTTCCTCTTCCACCTCCTCCTCCAGCTCAGCCCCTTCCTCACCGGTCCACACTGCCACACACAGTTCCATCAGCATTGGGGATGGGGCAACCCCCTACCAGTCTGGATCCCCAGCACATCCACTCCAGGCCCAGCCTTCCTCTCCCATTCCACACACTTCCCCATCCCTAGCCCCATTCCTCCCAGGCTGATTCACCTGTGTCTCCACCCACAGGGGCACTGGGTGGGCAGCTGCCCTCAGCCTCTCCACCTGGCTGCTCTGTGCTGGGGGATGCTGAGCCAGAAAACTGATTCTTCTTATTCTTGATGAGGATCTTGCCACGGAGATCCTCTGGGCTGGGCAGGGGGGTGCCTGGTTTCAGCTGTGGGAGAGTAGGGAGGGTCAGCATCATCTCCTCACCTTCAGGGTGTACCCTAATTTTCTTCATACCAAGCTGTGCTCCATCTACCCCTGCTTACTTTTCCAGCCTCACCTCTCATCACTCCCCCACATACGCTAAACCCCTGCCTGACCCGACTGACTTCAGTTCCTCAGTGATGCTCTCTCTCACCTGTTCAGTCTGTCTAGAACTCCCTTTCCTCAATCTCACCAACGTAAATCCAATATTTCCCTCTGTTTCAGCTTAGCCATCACTTCCTCCAGGAAGCCTTCCCTGATCCCGAGACCAGATCATAATTCCCCAAGTACTCCCATAGCAGTCACTGGTTGTCAAGGCCGGGTTCCTTATCTGTCTCCCCACTAGAGGGTAAGTAGTCTGAGGGCTGGGACTGCATCTTTGTTGCTAATGTACCCCTAAAGCTCAGCACAGTGCCTGACATGTGGTTAACCTAGCCTCCACCACACCCGAGGTCCCCAGCCCCCGGGCCCAGATGCCCCACAGAGAAGTTCACTCACAGGGAACTTTTCCAGGGGCTCTGTGAGCAGCATATCGCCAAACATCACCCGGCAGTACTCGGCCATCTTGGCTTGTTGGCGGGGTCTGTAGGGAGCAGAAGTGGGGTGTGTTTCAGCAGCTCTGCCCTCATCTTGGTCATCTTTCTGGGCTTCTGATCTGGGACATCAGGGGGACTGGAGTTTGAGGAAGCAGGGACACAAGCAGGAGAGCCTGAGGTCCTGAGGAAATTGTATTGAGACCAAAGGGCATGGCTAGAGGCTGGGGACAGTTGAGGGCAAGGCATGGGTCTGGACACTCACGAGTCCACGTGGTTTTCAAATGACAGAATGACAGGATATGGGGAGGTCTTAAAGGCACTTTCTGCAATCGCTTCAATTGCTTCCTGGAGGAGACGGGGACTCGATGGAGAGGAGGACAGTGCTCCAGGCTTCCCCTCCCCCAATGATATCCTTCTCCACTCCCCAGTTTCAACCACACATAGAACTGGAGGATGACTATTGACTCCCTTTGGTTCCCTCTAGTCCCCATGCCAGTCTGAGGCCTCCCAGATGCTTCTCTCTGCTTCATGCTCCCCCACCCCCAGAAAGCTCGGGGACGAGGGCCCTTCCCCAATGCCTCCACCACCAGCCTCCACACTCTGAGTCTTACCTTGAAGTAAATATCTGTGGTCATGGTGAAGCCATGGGTGATAATAGGCTCCTCATCGGGGGGCTTCCCCTTCCAGCAGTCCAGCTCCACACAGCGGCAGCCAGCTAGCAGCACCTGGCGATACATCTCAGCCGAGGAAAGGCCTGAGAACTGGCCAGCTGAGTCAGAGCAAGGGGAAGAGCAGGGGCTTCATTTAAGGGCTGTTCTGCTCTCCCCCATCCCACTCCAGGATGGTCTGTCCTATTGGCAACCTGAGGGCAGCCCCATGAGGAATTCCAGGAACAGGAGCAGCCCCCATAAAAGGAGAAGTCAGCAGTGAGGTGGCCAGGGCCTACCTGTCAGGTAGGTGTTGTGTGAGGAGTTGATGAAGTAATGATTGAGTGGCTGTGTCATGTCATGGTGGAGCAGCAGCTTGTCCTGGGCCAGCACACTATTCTCAGGCCCACAGAGAAACCATACCATGCCCTCAGGTGACAGCTGGCCTGGGGAGGGCAGGGGATGACTGTCAAGGCCACAGTCCAGTGGCCAGAGCAGGACAGGCCCACAGGGGGTAAAGGGTTCCCTTGGTCCTCACCCCTCTGCACGTTGATACCACTGGGCTCATACTTGTCAATGAGGCCCTGCACCTGGTCAGACCGTGCTTTCGGAAACAGTACGGAGTTGAGGCGGGAGTCCCTCTGTTTCTGGTTGATGAATGTGGTCAAGTGCTCCTTGGTCATGTAGGGTTTGGCCTTGGAATGGCTGCAGGCCAGAGAGAAGAGCACAAGTCTACATCCCCTAGGCTGGGGAACTCAGACAATCCCCCTTCTCCAGTGAAGCCACCTAATTGTCAGCATGGCAAGTGAGAATTTTAGCCACCACCTCTTCCCCATATCCAGCCCAGCCCAGGAAGCTCACTAGGAAGTGAAGATCTCATCTATTTCTGGCCGAGGACAGAGGCTCATGAGGAAACTCTTGTAGACAGACTCTGGGAAGTCCTCAGGATTGATGGCATCATTCTGGGGAAACAGAGAGTCACCTGATCACTCCTGTTCGACCCTCTCAGTGCTAAGAATCACCAACTAGGCCCAGCCTTGTACAAGGGAGCCTGGTAAGAGAGAGGGCTCTGGGCAGACAAAGAAGCATCAAGGACACGCTGAGCACCCACTTTTCAAGGCCCTGATTGCTGAGTAGAGAGCATGCTTAGCTGATTTGCTTTGCCCCTGAATTTGGATACCGGTTACTCTTTTGGCCGGGGCAGGATTGGAACTAAGAATGACCAGACTGGGGAGGAATTAAGTGACGCTGCTTGCCAAAGCAGTGGACTAGTTGTTGTTGTTGTTGTTGTTGTTGTTTCAGTGGAGGACAAATTTTCAAAAAGAAGCAATTTGAATATAAAAAATATGGCTCACAACATAGCCTCAAGATGCATAAAGCAAAAACTGACAGAATTTAAAAGAGAAATGGACAAGTCAACAATAATAGTTAGAGACACCAAAAAGCACAAGAACAACAATAACAAAAAAGATAAATTAGACTTCATCCAAATTAAAAACTTTTGTGCTTCGAAGTTTACCATCAGAAAGCTGAAAAGATCCACAGAATGGGAGAGAATATTTGCAAATCGGTATCCAAGAAGGGACAACTCAGCAGTGTAAAGACAAATAACCCAATTGAAAGAAGAGCAATGGATATAAATAGATATTTGTCCAAAGAAGATATTTAAACAACCAATAAGCATTTGAGAAGATACTCAATGTCAGTAGTCACTAAAGAAATACTTCATTCCTACTAGGATGACTAAAATAAATTTTAAAAAGACAATAAGAAATGTTGGGTCTGCAGAGAAATTGAAACCCTCGTACAATGTTGGTGGGATAGTAAAATGGTGTAGTCACTTCTGAAAATAGTTTGGAAGTTCCTCAAAATGTTAAATATAGAGTGACCATATGATCCAACAATTCCACCCCTAGGTATATACCCAAGAGAATTTAAAACATATACCCAGAAAAAATCATGTATAAGATGTTCATAGCAACATTATTCATAATAGACAAAAAGCGGAAACAACCCAAGTATTCACCAACTGATGCATAGGTCAGCAAAATGTGATATATCCATACAATGGACTATTATTTGGCCATAAAAAAAGAGTGAAGTACTGATATGTGCTACAATATGGATAAACCTTGAAAACATTATGCTAAGTGAATGAAGCCTGACATTAAAGATCACATAATATATGATTCCATTTACATGAAATATCCAGAGTAGGCAAATCTATAGAAATAGAAAGTAGAGTAGTGGCATTTAGAGATTCTGTGCCTTTGCATTCCATCTCAGAAAAACCCATCAAATGTCCTCAAGGATCATACCGGAAGGCCAACATCAGTCTTAGTTTGGAGCAGGAGAGCTAGACTAGATCTCCCTAAGACTAAATCTTGAACCCATCAGCTCCAAGCAAAGATGGGTCAGTGGCCCCTACTGGGAAACAGGAATTGCTGACAAATCAGGAGGATTTAGTGAATGTAGGAGTTCAGGAGGCAGGAGAAAAGGAGGGTGGAAGTGTACTGACAACAGCTTTCAGTGCTTGCTACAGGGCCCAGAGCAGGAGCCTGCTCCCACCTTCTCCCCGACTCCGTGCTTACATCGCCTGAGGCTGAATGCACCCAGGGGTCACCAACTCCACAGAGCTGTGACTGTGGGGGAAGTATTCTTCCTGGAATTCATGGGGACAGGTGATCAATGAGGTTTTAGTTTAATTATAATATTCCAAATTCTTACCAGGAGAAAAAACTGTATGGGGTGCAGGAGGTTCCCTGTATAAAGGCATGGCTAAGGGAGGACGGAGAGCTGAGATTCACTCCCCCAGCCAGGCATGAACCCGGGCTCGGGCCTGTGTCTACCTGCCCCAGAGGTCTCCTTTTTTTTGTAATTCATATAATGCACCTCATGGGATGACCCTACATACAACTCGTAATTAAAAAGTAATTACTTAACTAAAGAGAAAAATGTTTTCCTGTGTAGAGCTGAAGACTGTGTCTTGGCAGCTTCCACCCCTGGTTCTGTTCTTCACCCCACACCCTGAAGAACTAATACCTTCCCACAGCTTTCAGATCTCTGCAGACTGCCTCCTGTCCCTGCTGACCTTATCTTGCTCCTGCAGGCCGAAAACATTCATCTCCACGTCCATTCCAAGGCTGGAATGGGAATGCACCAATCCTTGCTGCTTGCTTTGAACACCACCCACTGCTCCCACAACCACCCAGAGATAGGGGTACGGACCGGCCTGCTAGAACCCTGGCACCTCACCCCCATCACCCTGGTACTGTTTCTGTGTATCAGAAACCAGTGGCTCTAAAATTAACTGGCTTTGGCACTGTTGACTGGAACTATGCTGTCATTCCTGCCCTCCTCACCCCCTACCAGGCCTTGCCAAGTTGCTCTCTGGTCAGAGCCAGCTCAGGTAAGAAGAATAGTAGGGTGGGCTAGGGAGGGGGAGCCACTCACCTTCCCTTTGGGGAGGTGGCAGGCACTGAGGGCAAGAGAGCTTGGTAGGAACCAATATTAGGATAAACTGAAGGAGCAGAGAAAGGCATCAGGCAAAGAGAGGAGTCAGGGCCTGGAGAGGGAAGGTTTTGGGGAGCTGGGAAGAAGTGTGGGGATGGGGAGGGGAGACTCACTTCTTCACAGGAATCTTCCCTTCAGGGTTGAGCTGCATCTTGAGCTTCACCAGGCTAGTGGGGCAGAAAGCAGCCTGTCAGGCCCTGGGGCTGGCACACTTAGCCCCGAAGGCTAAGGCCAGGCAGGCAGGCAGGCACTTACATCTTGTCCAGGAAGGTAATGCGGGGGGCATTAGCTGTCAGCGGATGCTTGACCAGAGCCAGTACATCTTCAGCCCAGTCCTGCAGGACCCCAGAGCACAGTAGTCAGACCCCTGATCTTAAAAGTGCCTGTACCACCCCATGGCCCAGACCTCTCTCTCAAAAAGTCTAGCCTATCCCAGTTGCCAATTCCCACGCCAGGTTTCCTCAGTGCACCTTGCCCACGTTCTCCTTGTAGGAGACAAAGTTGTGGAAGGTGAGGTCCACCATGTCGGGGCCAGACACCACAGTAAGTGTCTTCAGCAG